TTAAAAAAAAAAAAAAAAAAGAGAATAAGCGTTTAGAATAGTTGATAGAATCAAAACTTTATGAGTCATAAGGAATGAAGAAAATGATATTTGTATCATTGTTGGATTTGAAACCAAAATGGTCAACAGCTGTACGATCACTTACTCTAACTGATTTAGAGCTATAAACTTAATTAACATTTATTTGTCTAAAAAACTAGTTTCATCTTTGCTAATTTTTACCACGACAATTGTACCACTTATTTACCATCTCAATATTAAATTTAACTAAAAATTAAGATTACCAGTTAACAAGAACAAAAAAAAGATAAAGCTGATTTAGTCAATGTTTGCCGGTAAATGACGATGATTCTGATCTTTCAACAGTTGGTTGGTGTTCAACTGCCGACACAAACTTTACTTTTCATAACGAATATTGCACTACAAAGTACACAGCAATGCCTATAGTCGCTATCATTATCTATATTTTTTTCTTTGCAATAGGTAATTGCTTACAACTAAACGCTATAACAAATGTTTATTCAGTTTTGGACTGTGAAAAAAAAAAAAAAAGTATACAAAGAATAAGAAGTCTGAAAATTATCTGTGAAAGAAATTGGTTTTATAGGGTTTGCTCCTTTGGCATGGGCACTCAATGCAGAATTTCATCCATTATGGGCTCGAAGTTCCGGCTGTGCTCTGTCAACATTTACAAATTGGTTTTTTAGCTTAATAATTTCGCTAACATTTCTAAGTCTTAGTACAGCAATTACAAAATATGGTTAGTATTCTGTTTGTTCACAGAATATTTGCATATCATAAAACAGCTTTACTGCTATAAAAATCAATGCATACCTTTGATTAATTGTCAAAAAAAAAAAAAAAAGAAATGACACTATCTTAGCATTAGCATTAAACATTATACTAATCGAAACTGACAATTTTTAGGTGTATTTTTTATATATGCTGGAATAACGTTTGTTGCATTTTTCTTTGTTCTAAAATTTATACCAGAAACAACTGGAATTGGTATCGAAGATGTGGAGCTGCTGTTTATGGACGAAACCACACGAAAGAAAGTCATTGCTGAACGTGAAAAAAGTAATGGGGAAAAAGAGGAAGAAACTTTGGAAAAAAAAATAAATCATCAAAAAAGCATATCTGAAAACAGCGCAAATATTAAATATTAGAAAAAAGGTTGAAAATTATGATTTTTTTTCTGATATTTATCTGTTCAGCATTTTAATACC